AGATCTAATCTGTATCTAGTCTGTAGGTGTGGCCGCCCCCTCCTCAGCACACACATCTGTGGTTCTGGGGATCAATGGAAAACTCAAAACAAAAACAAAAACAAAAAGGAAAGAAAAACTACTTGAGAAGCTGAGGCAGGGGATTCTTGTGTTCAAGGACAATCTGGGTTTTCTGCCCGAGGATTAAAAGTGTCTTTCTGTGCCTCGGAGCCCCCGTTTATTTAAAGCATCTAATACACAGGAGGAACATGAATACACGCCATACATAGATGTTTAGAGGTATCATTTTACCCTTATGTTTTAATATCGCATGATCGTTAGCTTTTGCTAAATAAGTTTTCACTTTCATTAGGATGGAGGGAAATGTTCAGATTTGCAGACCTCTGCCGTCTCTTTGGGATGCAGAATGATTGAAAAATGTATCTGAGGCCTTCTTTTTCCTACACTTACATGATCGATGACATCTAGTACCTTAGGATACAATCCTAGCAAATAACTTAGTACACTGGAAGTAGAAAACAAAAATTTGAATTCCAAGTAAGCCTTTGTCGTTAATTTGTTTAGATTTGGCTGTCTGAATTGAGTGCTTGATAGTTTACAGTCATGCATTCTTGTATACATAGGATTGAAATTGAGCAAATAGAACCATACTAGGGGCTGATTTTGTTTAATGGCGAAGACGGCTACTGTTGGGGGATTATTTGCCTGTACCCAAGTGTCAGTCAGCTCATAACCATGTCTTTTCTGCTTTGTTTTCTTAGATCTAGTGAGATTTTAGTTTCAATTTTTTTATGATGCAGATTTAGAGGATTGTGGTGATTTGCTTACTAACTCATGTTTGTGTAAGTTTTCCCGTGCAAAAACATTTATTTCTATATTGTTGCCAAAATTGCTGTAGCTTCCCAACCCATTTAGAAACATAGTATTTATTGATAACTGAAATTATTAGTCTGCATTTGGTATATAGTCTCACGTGTTACAGAATAGCAGTCAAGATAAACTGTTAGCACTTTTAGGTCATGTGCTTTGGTGTCTGAAGTGCTCCTGTGACAGCTGCAGGCAGGTTGATGTTGTATAGCCCTAGGGCCGTTTCAGTGGGCGGAGCCTTGTATATTAAATGCATTACTTATGGTGGGCTGGAGGGTAAGCCTTTAGGTCAGTTTTAAAATGGCCTTATTTAAATTCTATGTTTTAAAAAGAAACTCAGGGAAAGTATTAAAACCAAAATCTCTAATTTGACTTTGTGTTTTCTATAGTTTTTATTTTGTTTTATTGGGATACTTTTATAAAAGGAAATGATGTTGTGGTCGTTTGATAATTGTACAACTTTCTTAATTATTTCTTCATTGTAACCTTTTATTTCACAAGTTCCTGAATATGAATTAAATTAACATTTTTTCTACCCGTTTCAAGCATTCTTTTATCTGATTTAAATGTATATAACTAGAATACAATATGCAGGAAAAAATGAAAAATGTGTTTGAACACAGTTAAAGTCACCAACTAATGTAAGCCTTTTTTAAAAACCTTTTTGTGATCTTTTTTGGTAACAAATATATGTAATAAGTATGTTTCCATGTGTGCTTTTTTTTTAATTTTTTTTTTCCATGTGTGCTTTTTAAAGCTACATTATGGTAAAACCATGAAAACGGCAGCCTCGATCATACCTGGCACCAACTGGTGAGATCTCATTTCTCTGATTCAGGCATTTTAATAGGTAGCCCATCTCTTACGATGTGCAAACTTATGCCAAGTAGGAGGGCATAGAATGCTGAATGAGCACCATGCAGAAAGGTTTCTTTGTAAACACTGGGCGCCATGGATGGGTGTTCAGAGTTTTCAAAGATCTTCAAAAATGTAAATAAAAGTGGGACCCCCTTTATTCCTGTATGCCTTTATTCTAGAAGAGGGCGTCAGATTGCACTATAGATGGTTGTGAGCCACCACCATGCAGTTGCTGGGAATCGAACCCAGGACCTCTGGAAGAGCAGCCAGTGCTCTTAACTACTGAGTCATCTCTCTAGCCCCCCATCAACTCTTTTATTTGTTTAAGTTGGCCAACCCAAAATAAGGGGAGGGAGACCCACCCTGTACTACTAAAACATTCAAATTTGGTGGGGGGCGGAGAATAGGTGAGAGAGACTCATTTGTGGTCTGCACAATCTCTTCTCCGCCTATGGAGAGTTTGTGTGTGAGGGGTGTGTATACACCTGACATTTTAATAAAACTTGTTTGCTGTGAGTGATTTATTTCCTACCTTTTAAATTCCTTAACCCATGGGGAAAACCAACCCAACACAAGAACCGTGGATGATAACACTTGCAATAATAAAGAAATGGCTGGGCCTGATAGGGGCCTATAATTCCAGCACTTGGGAAGGTCGGAGGCAGGAGGTTCTTGAACTTCTGGGTCAACATGGGCTATATTGTGAAACCGTATCTCAAAAGACGACCAAAACAAAAAACAAAAGTCAGACATCTGAAGGATCAGGGGTTAAAGGTTGTTAGCAAGTTAAGAGTTTCTTAAAGCCATGCAAATGGAAAGGCTTTAATAAAATGCATTCAAAACCTGAACCAATACAAAGGTATCCTTTTAGAAATGTATTCTTAAATCCCTCGCTGGAAAAACTTGAAAGCCTCTGGGAATAAGAACTTTGAATCTGGCCGGGTGGTGGTGGCGCACGCCTTTAATCCCAGCACTCGGGAGGCAGAGGCAGGTGGATCTCTGAGTTTGAGGCCAGCCTGGTCTACAAGAGCTAGTTCCAGGACAGGAACACCCCCCCCCCCAAAAAAAAAAAAAAGAACTTTGAATCTCCCTAAGAAATCGGGCCAGGCAGTTCTGATGTAGTCGGCCAGAGGCTGGAACACCAGAGCATCTGTGCGAAGAAGAGAGGCTAAGAGGTGAGGTTCACTGAGTGCCCCACACCCAGAGGGAAACCACCAGAAAGCAGAGTGGACCGGACTTCAAAATGCAAGGTTAACTCTTATTGCAAGTACAAGCGAGTAAAGGCAATTACTGGCTAGCCAGGAACTTCCTCTTCACTACCCTGAAACAACAAGGTAGAGAAAGAAGTTAAAACTTTCTTTGTAGGGTTAGGTTTTAAAAGGTGCAATCTACAAAGAGGCTTTTTGAAGTGACTTTTGGCACTGGTGCAAGGCCTTCTGTCCCCTCCTATCCTGGTAAGTCAGCTTTCTCCTCGTTTTATTTGTTAATACCAGGTGGCTGGCTGGCTAAATTCTGCTTGGATTCTCTCGGGTGGGAGGGGGAAAGGAAGGTGCTGCTAATCTGTGTTTCTAATTTAAAACATTTTGCTAGGAAATTCTTGTCCCTTTGAAAATAAGGGGTGAGGGTTCTCATGAGGGTCTTTCACTGAGCAGTTAAAAGATGGTGTAATTTCTATAGATCTATAGAGCACAAAGACAGGTGTGCTGGCCACTTTGTCAGCCTGACACAAGCTAGAATCACGTGGAAAGAGGGACGATCAGTTGAAACGATGTTTCCTTCATGTTAGGAGGGTCCAGCCCACTGTGGGCAATAGCACCGCTGTGCCTGGGTTGTTTAAGAAAATAGCCTGGGGGCTGGAGAGATGTCCAGTGGGTAAGAGCACTGATTGCTCTTCCAGAGGACCCAGGTTTAATTCTCCACACCCACAGGGTGACTCACAATTGTCTGTAACTACAGAGCGAGTTCCTGGACAGGCTCCAAAGTTACACAGAAAAATCTGTCTTGAAAACAAAACAAAACAACAACAACAAAAAAACAAAATCGAGAAAAGAGAGTCATGGGGTGTATGGTGGAGGTGCGGCAAGCCAGTAACCAGCATTCCTTACAGACGGCTTCAGGTCCTACCCCCAGATTTTGGCCTTGGGTTCCTGTGCTGACTTCTGTTAGTGTTGGAGTGTGATGAAATAAACGATTGGTTCCCCAAGTTGCTTTGGTTATGATGTTTTATCACAGCAACGGAAAGTTAACTAAACAAAACACTAGCAAGGTGTTTGGAGATGTCCGTAGTACACAAGAAAAAGGCGGTTTCCAAATGGTTATTTTTTTAAACCTTTTTTTAAATGGGTATTTTTTGTATGGTTGGGTATAAGAGCTTCCGTCCTCGGCAGGCAAGGACACCGCCCTATACCTTTTCAGGCACTGTGATGGATGCTCAGCTACTCCCACCTCCCATTCCGACACAAGAACAAAATTCCCTGCTCCTTTCCTCTCCACTGGGGCACAGTAACCACTTGTAATCCTTAAGATTGATATAATAATTGTCGCTTTGGAAACATACATATAAAAAAATGGGTCTAGGGAGCGCTGTTCACCTCGGACGGGCTTGGGTTTCCCTGATAGTGAAGTGTTGTGAACAGCTGCAGATGCCATAGTTTTGCGTCTCATTCCGATGGGGGCTTCCCTAGAGGGCTTCACTGTAGTGACAGTCCCATCAACCTTGGCTATGTTGTTCTCAGAAAACGTGGAGGAGATAAGGCCAGTTACTCTCGAATTTGGGGGTGATTTCTTCAGCCTTTTGGGCTGCTAATTTTACCCCCAATTTAGGGAAGAGGCAACAACTGTGTTGGAGATGGCCTGGCTGTGAGGAATGCGCACTGCCCTTCCAGATGCCCTTTTCGGTTCCGGCACCCACGTGGCGGCTCACAACCACCTGCGACTCCTGGGAATCCGCCCGCACGTGCACGCACGAGGTGCGCGTAGACTCAAGCAGGCGCACACGTGCGTACAGGTTTGCTACCTGGAGGGCGTGGCAGCACTTAACCTGCGCAGCCGACTCCGCCGCTGCTAACTCGGTACCAGGACCACGCGGCAAATCTGGGTGGGGCCCCGTCAGCGATGGCCACGCCCTCGACGCTGTCGTTGACGTCACGGGCGCTGGAAGATTGACGCTAGAGGCCCGTTGGGGAGGTAGCTCTATGGCTGCTGGGTGTCTGCTGCTCGCTGGAAAATGTAGTCCGCCCGACGTCGTGAAAAGGTGGGGTAGGAGCTTGCGGCAGCCACAGGGTTTAGGGGTGGAGACGGAGGGGCGCGGAGAAGGCTGGCTGCTTCCGCTTGAGTCCGTCCGACTTCGGCAGCCTGCCTGGCCTGGCTTGGAACCCGTGGGTCAGGCAAGCTGATCCGTGTTGTGAGGCGTCCTGGGCCACCCGCCTCCAACCGGTGCCCTTCAGGGACGTGCCCTGTACCTACCCCGCCGCCCTCCAGCGTGGTCCCGAGAGCCAGTGAAAGACTTGGAGGCCCCGAGTGCATTGCAACTAAAGGTGGCTGCGTGATGTATATCAAGGCGCGGATGGATAATTCACCAGTATTTATAATGCCCGATGTAGGTAGAGCCCATCATTTACAAAAGTTGTAAATCGGCAAGCCGTTTAAGCGCGTTAGTGTAACACAAAATCTGGTTGTTAGATTATCCTTTTGTTGTTCCTTAAAGGCCCCTTTTTAAAAAAAGTCATAGTTGACTTGGTTGTTTCCTTCTTATTTATTTAAAGTATTTGGAGAGGGATTGGGGGACAGCATGCTTGAGGAAGTCACAGGATTTTCTTTCAGTTGGTTCTTTCCTCCCATCATGTGGATACCACGAATCGAACTGAGCCAAGTTTCTTTATTCGCTGAGCCATCTATTTAGCCCAAGTATGTCTGAGCATGGAATAATGATGTTATTTATTGGAGAGAAAAAAATATATACATAAATTCGATGACTGGAATGAAAACCTAGACAAGACTGAATTTTGCGACTGGGAACTTGTAAATTCAAAGTAGAAAAACTCCTTACTGATTGTATAGATTTTTTGTGGTGAGTTTTGTAGCTGGATATAAAAAATCGACACTTTTCTCTTTTTAAGAACTTAGTTTATAGTCCCATTATTCCACCTCTGTGAAATATGTTACTAGATTATATTTTCTTGTGAGAAATTAGCAGTTATATACGTGTTTGCTTTCTGGAAGAAAAGCAACTCTGACAAATTTTTAAAATTTTATTGTATTGTAGGAGTGTTTTACCTTATATGTGTTGGTACACAGCTCTTTGGAGAGATTTTTCTTTGGACCGCCAGCTCACAAAAAATGACATGGAGACTTAATAAAGCTCGGCCTATAGCTTAAGCATATTCCTCACGAGCTCTTATAACTTAAATTAGCCCATTTATATCAGTCTGTGCATGGTGTTACCTTTTCTCCCATCTTGCACCTCCTGTTTTCCCTGTGTCTCGTGGCTGCTCCTGTGTGCCTGGATTCTCTTCCTCTTACTCTCTCTCCCAGGACCTCCCGCCTAGCTATTGGCTGTTCAGCTTTGTTTTTTTTTTTTACACCAACCACCGCAGCACACCTTCACAGTGTACAAGTGTCTCACAACACAAGTGGGCAATAAACCTGCTGTCGGGATATCCCAAGATAGTGTGAGTCTGCAGACTCATTTCATCAGTTGGTCCACTTTCCCTTGCAGAATCTCTGACAGAGACATAGCTTTCATCCGGGCACTTCCTTTCAGTTTGTTCTTTGGCCTTGCTGGGGATGGAATTCGGGGCACACTGGCAAGTGGTCTGTTACTGATGTAGATACCTGTTGGGACTAATGAGTCCTGGCCTTCAGCTGCTCTTCTCTCCTAGAACCTTCTAATTAAGGTTACTAGAAGCTGTGCCTAGCTTAGAGGATCAGAGGATGGGATTTTCAGCTGTTGGCCATTGACTGCAGTGTATTTAATCCTACATGGTGCTGTTAAAGAGGGGCTTTGGTATCAGTGTTTAAAGGTCTGCATGTCGGTCTGTCTCTGTGTCTGTGTTCTCAACCTCCAGCCCCTTGCCCGAAGCTCGCTAACTGGGGTCTAGCACATAGAGCGCAGACCGGGGCGTGGGGCGCGGCAGATACCCAGCCAGTACAGTCATTTTTTTACTCAGAGACGTGTTTCTTCTTTGCCTCCCTAAAACTCCCCTGACTTCTGACATTTCTCTCTGTGTAGATTTCTCAGCCACTGGTGTTTAGACAAACCTCAGTAAAATGACTCTTCAGGCGCTGGTGCACCGTGCGGCCTCCATGCACTTGAACAGAACAGCTGTGTGCTTTGACGAAGGCAGCAGCAGCCGGCCCCCAGTGTGTCATACCTACAAGACAGTGCTGAGCGAGGCTTCCGAATTATGTGATTTCCTGCTGACACACTGTGACTTTGGAGGAATTCGGGAAATTGGTCTCTACTGCCAACCTGGGATAAGCGTACCCTCCTGGATTTTAGGGTAAAATTTCTAGGATAAAGTGAGATGACTCTAAGCTAGTTTATAGCTTTTAATACACAGCACACATTGTAAGCTACGTTTCTATTTACTATTGGATTTTTTGGCATTAGTTTATCCATTTTCTAAAGAAGTTAAATTAGTACACATTATGCTAATATTTTTAAGTAAATTATTTTAAACATTTAATCATTTAGTTTGTGCCTATTAAGGAGAGACTAAAAGGTTTTACTAATGGAATATTTAAATATCTGCAATAAAGACCACATTTGTCTGTCAAAAGAAAACAGCTGAAGCATTATATTAACTGTTGTTAGCTCACAGGAAAGCACTGAGACACCATTGCAGGTCTTGTCAAGTCTTTGAAAATGTTGTATTTCTGTACATTAAGTGTCGGGAGCTCTCAGATGTTCACTGGGCTCAAGATAAAATAACTATTTACAACTGAGGCGTGACCCTAAAATTAGTGAAATTCGAATGGATATTAAAACAGGGACATCAAAGTGCTCACAGGAGAATTTTGTTTGTTTTGCTAACCTTGCACTTGCCCTTCAGGATTCTTCAGGTCCCGGCTGCTTATGCACCTGTGGATCCAGACTCACCACCGTCATTATCAGCTCACTTTATGAAGAAATGTCATCTGAAGTATGTTCTCGTTGAAAAAAAGCAGGTTAACGTAAGTCTTGGTGTTTAAGTGTTTTGGAGGGGTGTGAAGTGGGAGGGAGAGAGGGGAAGAGAGAAAGAGAGAGAGAGAGAGAGAGAGAGAGAGAGAGAGAGAGAGAGAGAGAATATGAGAATATTTCCAGTTTAAGAGTTCTCTCAACCTATGACTTTGAGGCCAGCCTGGTCTACCAAGCTACTTCCAGGACAGCCAAGGCTACACAGAGAAACCCTGTCTCAGAAAACCAAAAAAGAAAACAAAGTTCTCTCCTCTGTCTTAACTTCTTAATCCGCCAACTCTGGCAGTATTTCCCAGGTCCAGTGATGTCATTGTTCTGGTTGAGTGTGTGCTGTGGGAAGTTTCTCAGGTCCAGCATTTTTGGTTGAGTGTTGTGGGAAGTTTCCTGTACAACATAAGATGGTTAATAGCATTGCTGCCTTCCACAAACTAGAGACTACTAGCACCTTTTCGGTATGACATCCAGAAATGCCCAGATCTTCCCAAGTGTCCCCTCTCCACCCTGAACACTTGACTGAGAACCACCTGTTTATGATATGAAAATATCTTCCAACCTTATGGCAGTTGTGTGTTTTCCTTTCCTGCTTCCAGATTATTTCCCATGGTGGAAAGTGCCATACTTGGAGAGTCTACTTTTATGTACTTATATCAGTGTTAGAGAATTATAAATAAGTTTACATTTTGAAAAAGAGATCAGCTTTTAGACCACACATTAGTGAAAAACTAAATTTATTATTTAAAACATTTTTAAGTATAGGGCTGGAGAGATGGCTCAGAGGTTAAGAGCACTTGCTGTTCTTGCAGAGGACCTGGATTCAATTGCAGCACCCACCCTGGGTGGCTTACAAAAGCCTGTAACTCCAGTTCACGATATTCAGTGCCCTCTTCTGCACCCACATGTTACACACACAGACAAGCAGGTATACAGATACACATAAAACAAACGCTCCTCCCCCGAGACAGGGTTTCTCTATTTAGCCCTGGCTGTCCTGGAACTCACTCTGCCTCCTGAGTGCTGGGATTAGGATTAAAGACATGCACCACTGTGCTCAGCTAACCTTGAACCTCTGTTAGAAGGTCCTGCTGACTTCACCTCATCGTGTATTTTGAGGTTACAGATGAGTACAGTTGTTTGCCTTTAATATTATTATTATAGCATAACAGGCTGCTTATAACATGCTGCTTCTAACATGCGCACATACAATAAACACACAAGTAGAAAATGTGGCAAGCTACCAGGGTTTGACCTTTCATTATTTATATTTATTTGTTTAATATGAAAACTTAGATTGTTTCAATGAAGCTGCTTTTATCAATCAACACAAGAAGCTCTATTCAGAAGGACCCACTTTCAGTGTGTATGGGTCCAGTGGCGGTGCACCCTGTAGTCTTAGCACTCAGGGTGCTGATGATGACCTCCAGCTGGAGGCTGAAGTGGTCCACATAGTGCACTCCAGACCAGCAGGGCCACATAGCAAGGACTTGTTTCCAAAGATCAAAAACCAAACAAAATAAACATAACATCATAGCCATTAGGTCCCAACTTCTCTTGAGGCTGCTGGCAGAATCTTGCTGTCCACTCCTAGTTCAAGACCAGCTCAGAACCATTGTAAAGGATTCAGTAAGTGGCTCTCATTTAACGGGGTTTAGTCCTGTGCTGTTGCCACTTTCAGATGGGTCCCATCCTATATAGGCTAAGGGTACTTTATGCTAATTACACAAAGTAATTGAGGATTCTCCATTCATCTCCATTCATCTTTCACCTACACCAAACCTCACCTCCATTTCCACACATTTCTGAAGAACTTACTGTTCTCCAGTGTCAGCTTTCTTAGACCATGTGGCTCTATATTGGTGATTGTCTGAACTACCCATCTTCTCATTTGGAGAATACAAATATTGCCTCTGAAATCTCGGACCCTTTGTGTGGAGTTAAATGCCGCTTCTCCACTGACATCTCAGTCATGTGCTGTTATCATTTTTCCAACATTGCATTACAGTTGCGTGCTTTTATATTCATCTGCTTTGAAGGTGAGTTTGAAAATAAGGACACTTAACTCTTAGGTATGTCTTATTTCTCCTTGTTCCCAGATCATAGCTAGTACTTCCATCCCTGGTTAAGCCATATTGAATGAGTAAATGGATCTTTTACATTTCTATAAAAGAAGCCTTTCTTTCTCTCCCTTCCTTCCTTCCTTCCTTCCTTCCTTCCTTCCTTCCTTCCTTCCTTCCTTCCTTTCCTTCCTCTCTCTCTTTCTTATTTTATATACACAGTATTCTACCTGCATGTACACTGCAGGCCGGAAGCTAATTACAGATGGTTGTGAGCCACCATGTGGCTGCTGGGAACTGAACTCAGGACCTTTGGAGGAGCAGAGCCATCTCTCCAGCTCAAAGAAGCCTTTTTAATATGCTAATATTTGTAAATATTTTCTCCAATAGAATTTCAGATCTTCACATGAAGCAGTTTTGAACTATGATACAGTTTCAGTGGAACATAAGGACCTGGTGCTCTTCAGACTTCACTGGGGAAGCGATGAGGTGTCGGCGCTCAGTGATGGAAAAGAGAAATTCGAGGTGGATGATAGAGAAACCAGCATGAGTTCTGAGAGCAGCATTGAAGGGAAGGCACAGGTGGACATTCGGCAGGAGGGTTGCTTGGCTTATGTTCTACACACCTCGGGGACCACAGGGACACCAAAGATTGTCAGAGTGCCTCACGCATGCATACTACCAAATGTCCAGCACTTTCGGTGAGTCCTGTCCTTTGAATTTTTTAGAATTTGTGCTTTAAGCTGGGTGTGGCGGGACTCGCCCTCAGTCTCAGCATTTGAGAGGCAGAGGCAGGCGGATCTTTGTGAGTTCGAGGCCAACCTGGTCTACAAGAGCTAGTTCCAGGACAGGCACCAAAGCTACAGAGAAACCCTGCCTCAAAATACAAACAAACAAACAAACAAAAACCTTCCATTTTAGCTGAGTAGTGATAGCCCACACTTTTATCCTAGCATTCGGAAAGCAGAGGCAGGTGGATCTCTGAGTTTGAGGCTAGCCTGATCTGTAGAGTAAGTTCCAGGACAACCATCAGGGCTGTCAGACAGAGAAACCCTGTCAGAAAAACAAAATACCAAACAAACAATCTTGCATTTTAAGAAAGAAAAATGAGTTTAAATTTTTGTAAATCTTGATCCAAGTGGATAATCTTAAATAACTGATCAGTTGGATCTGCCTGATTGATGTGTATATTTAGACTTCTGCAGACAAGATGCAAGGTATACTTGTTAACAGGCCAATCACAGAATGCGTGTGTGCGTGTGTGTGTGTGTGTGTGTGTGTGCGCGCGCGCGCGCGCGCGCGCGCGCATGCGTACACGTGTGTGCGGGTGTGCGTGTGTGTATGTGTGATTGGAGTTAAGATCCCAGGCATCCCACCAATGCCTCTAACTCCGTGTGTGTGTGTGTGTGTGTGTGTGTGTGTGTGTGAGATTGGAGTTAAGATCCCAGGCATCCCACCAATGCCTCTAATCCAGCTCATATTTTCTGGCCACTAGCATCCTTTCCTCACACCTTTGTGCATTTGTTTTTTTTTTTTTTTTTTCATTTATTTATTTATTTATTAATTAAAGATTTCTGACTCTTCCTCACCGCCGCCTCCCCTTTCCCTCCCCCTCCCCCAACCAAGTCCCCCTCCCTCGTCAGCCCAAAGAGCAATCCAAGGACCACCCACACCTTTGTGCATTTGTAATGCGCACACACAATGTCTTCAGAAATAAAAGTGAAAAATAAATCAAACAGAAGGAAAAGTCTACTGAAAGGAAACCAGAATATAAGAATGAATTATTATGAGGAACTGGCTCTCACAGTGTGGCTGAGGAAGTGTGGAGACGACAGAGTCCGCAGCTAGGAGAGAGTCATAGCAGGCTGGGACCCCACAGGCATGAGACTGTCCACAGCAGTCAGGGAACACAGCTGCTGCTGCTGCTGCTGCTGCTTGTTAAAAAATATTTTAATTTGTGTATATGTCTGTATATTCTTGTGGGTATGGTATGTGTCTGCAGAGGCCAGAGACTCGTTGCTTCTCGAGCTGGACTTACATAGACCGAACTGCCTGACCTCCCAGTAGGTCCTGGAGCACTAGTGTGCTCTGGTCCATGAAACTGTCTCTCCAGCCCTCTTTGGTTTTCACTAAGGAGAAATTCAGCCATTCCAGGATTGATAACACTCAGCTGACTGTGGACTGGACCGTTCAGCAGAATAACCGACAAGAGGGTGTACCTTTACTAACTAGTAGGTGCCATCCTTCTGTTCTCTGACTTCCCCCTTAAAGGGAAACCCGTATAACTGGTGATTCACATTTGTAATTCTAGCTATTGGAAGGCTGAAGCAGGAGGATTGCTGTGAATTTGAGACCAGTCTGGGCTACATAGTGAGTACCAGGGCCAGCCAGAATGTCTCTATAAGCAAAAGAAAAACAAAACAACAAAAATAAGAACGAAACCATAGTAGAAAGAGAATTCTGGGGGTTATAGTTCACTCTCTCTAAATCGACATACCAGAAAGTCTGTCTGGTAGAAGGGGGGAAATGGTATTATTTAAGGGACTTTCGAGACAGGGTCTCATTATGTAGCTCTGACTGTCCTCAAACTCATAGAGATCCACCCTTCTCTGCTCCCAAGTGCTGGGATTGTGGGCATGCGCTACCACACCTAAAGGGCTCTCAGTTTTGCCTTCTGTAAAGAGGGTTTCCAGCAGCAGCTGCACCATTGGTTAATCTGAAGAACAAAGTTAATCTGAAGCATCCAGAAAATGTGTTTTCCTGATAACTGCTTTCCCCCTTCTTCTTTGTTTAGATTCATCTATTTTTATTTTATGCATATGAATGTTTTCCTTGCATTCATGTCAGTGTATGCCTGGTGTTCATGGATGTCAGGAGAAGGCATGAATTCCCTGGAACAAGAGTTTCAGATGGTGGTGAAATACCATGCAGGTGCTGGGACCTGAACCTGGGTCCTTTTCAAGAGCAGGAAGTGCTTTTGACTACCCAGCTGTCTTTCCCATCCCTACTTAATGGTTCTTTAGGGTCTGTGCTTACCCAGGCTTGGACGTTCCTTATGACAGCTATGCTCTGTCTGTCCCTAGGGTGCTTTTTGACATCACCCAAGAAGACGTTTTGTTTCTGGCTTCGCCTCTGACCTTCGATCCATCTGTTGTGGAAATATTTGTTTCTCTGTCCAGTGGAGCCTGTCTGCTCATCGTGCCAACTTCTGTCAGAGTGTTCCCAGCCAAGTTAGCTGATGTTCTCTTTTCCCGCCACAGAGTGACCACTCTACAGGTATTTCAGTAGCAACAGAAAAGTTTTCATCTATATTCTTGTAATGTTACATGTCTTAGAGAATCCTTTATACTTCTATAGTTCTTCCCAGTGGATTAATGATGTGCAGTTAGCTCATCAAAGGTACCACCTTGTGATGGCAATGTTTATTTTAAAATGAAAGAGAGTTCAGTTAGTCATGCCTAGAGAATCCCTAACTGTGCATTACCTGTAGTACAACTGGAGGAACTTGACTTTGACTATGGTGTACTGTTGGGGTATCTTCTCTCTCAACATTTAAGCATATTGTGTTTCCTACCAAACTCTAGTATATTAATTGCACCATTACAGATGAGCTAAGAACCAGGTGTGTTAGCACCTGCCTGGACTCTCAATACTTGGGAGGTAGAGGCTTCCTATAAGGAGCTCAAGACCAACCTCTGCTACATAGTGAGTTCAAGGCTAGCCTGAGATACCTAGAATCCTGTATTTAAAACAAACTAAGAATGCCAGGTGGTAGTAGTGCACACCCTTAATCCCACCACTCAGTAGGCAGAGTGAGTTTGAGGCCAGCCTGGTCTACAAAATGAGTTCCAGGACAGCCAAGGCTACATGGAAAAACCCTGTCTCGAAAAACCAAGACCAAACAAACAGACCCAAAACAACAATCCAAAACAAACAAAGGAGCCTGGCATTGTTGGTTCCTATTGCTATGAAAAGACACCATGACCACAGCAACTCTTATAAGGAAATATTTAATTGGGGCTGGCTTACAGTTCAAAGGTTTAGTTCATTATTGTCATGGTGGCACTTAGGTAGACATGGTGCTGGAGAAGGACCTGAGAGTTCTACATCTGGATCAGCAGACAGCAGGAAGAGAGTGAGAAAATGAGCCTTGTTTGAGTATCTGAAACCTCAAAGCACCCCAGATGACACACTTCCTTCAGCCAAACCATATCTATTTCAACAAGGCCGCAGCCCCTAATAGTACCACTTTTTATGAGTCTGTGGGGACCATTTTTATTTAAACCACCACAAAGGCTGATTTGTGCAGCCCAAATATTCTTGCATGTGTAGCCTTTCACTGACACATGGTCAACTTACCAAGGCTACACTCTTAAGAGAAACTGACAGTTGCTGGTAGCTCCTTGGTTAGGCGGGGGACATTGTGCCCATCTCCTCTCTCCATGCTGGGATTTGTTCTGGCCTGGGCTCGCATGGATTTTGTGCATGCTGTCACACCCACTGTGAATTCAGACGCTGTCCTTGGAGAGGACAGGTTCAACTTCTGTCACCCACATGGTGGCTCATAATTGTAACTCCAGTTCTAGCGGATCTGACACCATCGTCTGACCTCTGAGAACACTGCCTAGGCACACATGGTGCACACATAGACATGGAGAGGGAGCACTCACAGAAGTTATAAAACAGTGTGTAGAACACGGGCTGTGAGATATCACATGGGAAATGGCTCAGTGAGATGGGGCTGGAGTGGTCGCTGAGGATAAGAGTGTTTGCTGCTCTTCCAGAGGACTTCAGTTTGGTTCCTGGCACCCACATGGTGCTCATAACCATCCATGACTTCAGACCCCAAGATCTAGGGGATCTGGTGCCTTCTTACATCCTCAGGCACCCACATATGTATGAAAGCAAAACAGTCATAGAGATAATAATAATCCTTTTGTTTTTTGTTTTGTTTTTAGAGACAGAGTTTCTCTAGGTAACAGCTCTGGCTGCCCTGGAACTTGCTCTGTGGACCAGGCTGGCCTTGAATTCACAGACATCCACCCGCCTCTGCCTTCTGGGTGCTGGGATTAAAGGTGTATATCACCACTGCCCTCTGATTTTTTGTTTGTTTCATTTTTTTTTAATTTTAAGATATTATATTATAAATGGTGAAAGATACTGATACTGGGTGTGCCAGCAACATGCCTTTAATCCCAGCACTCAGGAGGTAGAGGCAGGTGGATTTTTGTGAGTTTGAGGCCAGCCAAGACTATATAGTGTGATCCTATCACATAAGTCAAAAAATGAAAAAAAAAAAAAAACATTGAAGCGATGGGGCTGCAGAGATGGATATGTGGCTGAGTGTGCTTGCTGTGTCTCCAGAGGGCGCTCCCATGTCCATGGCTCACGGAATTCCAGCTCTAGGGACTCTGAACCCTTTTGTGGCCTCTGTGAGCACTTGCACATATATGCACATACGCACACATAGTCACACACATATACACATAGAAATAAATCTTAAGAATTGAAGGGAGCCGTATGTGATGATGAGTACCTTAAATCTCAGCTCTCTGGTAGGTCTGTGGTTTCACCAAACTTCTTTTTATTTTATTTTATTTTATTTTATTTTTTGTTTTTCAAGATAGCGTTTCTCCATGTATCCCTGGCTGACCTGAAATTACTCATTCTGTAAACCAAGCTGGCCTTGAACTCACTGAGATCTGTATGCTGACTGCTGGGATTACAGGCATACACCACCACTGCCTGGAACTCTCTTCTCTTCATTAAGAAGAAAGAGCTCTTAATGCTGGTGAGTCTCACCAGTGCAGTAAGGGCAAAGGGAAGGGAAGGGAAAGTAGGAGGAAGAAGAGGGAGAGAAGAAAAAGGAGAAGGCGGAGGAAAAATTTCGTGTGTAGATAGCATGATCATGTGTCTGCAGAACTGGGAAAGGCAGGGAGAGGAAGACATTAGTACTAATAAACATTTAGCAAACCTGGAAGATACACACTCGATATAAAAACCAGCTGTATTTGAATGTGTAAATGTATGCATATAGTCATATGTATTTCTCTATATATTTCTATTAAGAAAATGCCTAAAGCAAAATTAAAAAAATTTTTACAATAGTATCAAAAATAATAAAATAGGAATAAGTTTAAAGAATATCAAGACACGATTATGGGGGGACGGAGGGACAAAGGCAAGATTCATCCACCAAAACTCTAGCATCATTGGCGGAAATTAGAGACGCACCTACATAGACAGGCATCTCACACTCATGTAGAAGTCTAAGCATTGTCAACAGGGGAGTTCACACTCAGTCTGTAAATTATATTAAATGCACTATCCTACCAAATCCCAGGAAATGTTTGCTAGAAATTCACAAGTTGATTTTAGATTTTATATGGAAATGGAAAAAAGTCCTAATTTATACAGTAGGGTGCCACTTGATAATAAAAAGAATTATTTAAACTGGGAGTCAGACACCTTGAGCAGCGAGAGTGCCGTGGGCTGAGCAGGGGCTGCAGGGGGGTGGGAGTGCAGATTGAAAAGTGCAGACACCAAGGCACCGCTCGTTACTCCAGTGCTGATCCGCTCCTGTACCAGGGCTCTAATCAGGCCTGTGTCTGCCTCCCTCTTGAGTCGACCAGAGGCCCCATCTAAACAGGTTAAACAGCCTTCCTGCAGCAGCTCCCCTCTCCAGGTGGCCAGACCGGAATTCAGACCAGTGTTGTTTCCCGGGACATTGACACAGCTGCCAAGTTTATTGGTGCCGGGGCTGCCATAGTTGGTGTGACTGGATTCGGGGCTGGCATCGGAACCGTGTTTGGTAGCTTGATTATTGGCTATGCCAGGAACCCGTCTCTCAAGCAACAGCTCTTCTCTTATGGCATTCTGAGCTTTGCCCTGTCTGAGGCTATGAGGCTCTTTGTGATGGTCGCCTTCCTCATCCTCTTCGCCATGTGAGGCTCCATGGGGTCACCCAGCTGTCCCTGCAGCTTCAACTCCATGCCGGTCCTGGTGTTGGAGGGTGCTAAGCTTTACTATTAAACAACAAAGTTTCTCTAAACAAAAAAAAAGAAAGAAATAAACTGTTTATATATACAATAAAATGGATGAGATGGAAAATATTTATTAGGGTTTTATAAATAGGGCTTCCCAACTGAAAATTATAGCCTTAGGGCTAGAGAGATGTCCCGGTGGTTAGGAGTATTCCTGCTCTCTCAGAGGCCCAGAGTTCAGTCCCTAGCACGTGTGTCTAGTGGTTGACAATGCCTCCAGCCATAGGCATCCAGTGACCTGGCTTCTGCAGGCACACACATACAAGCATACAAAGAAATAATAATACATCTTTAAAAAAAATAAAAATATAGTCTTAGTATCCTCATAGGTTCCGAAGTAATGATTACAGTGTTTACATACGGAAGGAGGAAACTGAGTGATTTTATTGTGTTTCCAGGCAACACCAACATTGCTGAGAAGATTTGGATGTGAGCTCATCAAGTCTACTGTCCTGTCAGCGCATACTTCTCTGAGAGTGCTGGCCCTCGGTGGGGAAGCCTTCCCCTCACTGGCTGTTCTCAGAAGCTGGAGAGGCGAAGGCAATAAGACACAAATATTTAACATTTATGGTATCACAGAGGTGTCCAGTTGGGCGACTTTCTACAGGATCCCCGAGGAGGTCCTTAATTCTCCTGTGAAGTAAGGCTTTAGTCACACTCAGTAGATGGGGGAGTCTTCTCCCGAGATCTTAGCATTAGCCCTGGGGCTTGTGAGTTTTGTTGGGGATGGCAGTTGAACATGTTGAAGGTGATAGTCTTTGCTTGCTAAGCCCACCCTCCACTGGGGAGCTGTGCTCCTAACCCTACTGACAGGGTTTGTCAGGTGCTGTAGTGATAATATTTAAGACACTATTTCAACTTAAGAATCCAAAATCTTTCTTATAACTGGTGACAAGATCCTACCAGATCCTTTTGTGACGTAACACACAGTACCAAACCGTTTCCTCCGGCATCTTTGCATTGTACCATAAACTGCTTTTGTCTTTGTTTGCTGTGTGCTTTTGAGACACTGGGAAGTGTGCCCACATGTGAATTTTAAGCCTGCCCTGGGCTGTGTTTTTCTTCAGACACGAATCTCCCGTGCAGCTGGGGTCACCACTCCTCGAAACGGTGGTCGAAGTCAGGGACACAAACGGCTCCCCAGTTCATGAGGGCACCGGCCAGGTATTTTTAGGTTGGTTCATGTTTGTTGGTTGATTTTTCTAAAAGAAAAATCAGATGTTTCTTATGTTCATTTCATGTTTTTTTTTAATATAGAGTGCACTTTTCCGTGATAAATTTTAGTCTTTTCATAATCACAAAATATTTTGTGTTTACCCAAATAGTTTCACATGCAGTTTCTAATTATGTAGAAACATGATTTGAAGTGTTAGCATTTGTAGACAAAACTACCTAGCAGTATTCTAATGATATTTTTACAATCATATATATTTTTAGAAATAAGTTTGGTTTTATCCTTTTGCTAACTTCCTGAAGTTATTGTGCCTGAGTAGCATTAAAAAGTCCCCTCATTTTAATATAGTCAAGGTCTGAATCTTAGTCACTGAATTTTAGAGATACTTTGATTTTGATGTTGTTAAATCAATTTTCCATGGATTTTGTGACATTGGAGTTTGTGTCTTTGAAAGGTGGGGAGAATAGAGTGTGTTTCCTGGATGGTGAAACGGCAGTGCCTCCTGGTACCATGCGGGCCACAGGAGACTTTGTGACTGTGAAAGATGGAGAGATGTTTTTCTTGGGAAGAAAGGACAGCCAGATCAAGCGCCACGGCAAACGTCTTAACATTGAGCTTGTACGACAGGTAGAGCCATTTAACACGAAGTGTCTCTTAGTGTATTAGGCAGCAGAGGCAGCGACCGCCAGACTTCTGTGCCAGGTCCTCTACAGCGCACATGCCTGACACATCACTCATAGGCTGAGGCTGAGGATTATGGGCTCAAGGCCAGGCTGAGCTATATAACAGGATCCTAGCTTTTAAAAAAAAGACAGAATCAGTGCCAGGTGGCGGTGGTGCACACCTTGAATCCCAGCACTCAGGAGGCAGAGGCAGGTAAATCTCTGAGTTAAAAGCCAGCCTGGTCTACAAAATGAGTTCCAGGACAGCCAGGACTACATACAGAAGCCCTGTATCAAAAAACCTAACAAAACAAAACAAAAATCCCAAAATAATTGTAGTAAAAGGCATGGATAATTCAAGGTATCTCTTATTTCCATCAGGAAGATATTTTGTTTGATAGTTTTGTTTTGAGGCAGAATCTGTTTATGTAGCCCAGGCTAGTCTAAAATTCCAAGTCCTCCTGCTTCGGCCTTCCTTGTGTTAGGCTTACAGGCATGACTCCCCAATTGGCCTTCCTTGTGTTAGGCTTACAGGCATGACTCCCCAAGTCTGACTTTAGATGGACGTTTTTAAATGTTTTTGTTGCGGGTGTGTGTGGGTGTATGTGGGTGTTCTTGAGTGTTCTTGAGACAGGGTCTCTCTGTGTAGTCCTGGCTGTCCTGGAACTCACTCTGAAGACCAGGCTTTGAACTCGCAGAGGTCCTCCTGCTTCTACCCCCTAAGTGCTGAGATTAAAGGCGTGCAGCACCACCGCTCAGCCAAGATGGCTATTTTTAAAATAAGGGGTTGGAGAGATGGCCCAGTGGTTAGAACGGTTACTGTTCCTGCAGAGGACCCAGGTTTGCCTTGTAGCACCCACATCAGACCGTTCACAACCTTTTTCTGTAGCTCCAGTTGCAGGGTACCCGACTCCCTCTGGCTCCTCCAGCACCTGCATTCACATGGTGCATAAAAACTCACACAGCACACATACGTAAAAATACATAAAGGGGGTAACAAAATAGATTCCAAGACCTATGAAAATACATTGGTTTATTTGCTTTGGAATGTATTTTTGCGGACAGGAGGACTGGTAGCTCTGTTAGTAGTAGATACCAATAGCAAGCAATTAAAAAAAACTCAGGTATTTTCTGGAAATGATTCAGCTGTACTGATTTTAGATCGGCACAGGACAGCAAATCCAAGCATTTAGGAGCCCGTTTCTAGGTGTCCCCATTAGTAAGTGAGGACAATCTTTCTTCCAGGTGGCTGAAGAACTTCACCAGGTGGAATCCTGTGCAGTTACGTGGTATAATCAGGAAAAGTTGATTCTCTTCGTCGTAACCAAAGTTGATTTGGTAAAGGATAGCATCTTTAAAGAACTGCGGAAACGCCTTCCAACTCATGCTTTCCCTGATGACATGGTGTTGATTGATGCTCTGCCAGTCACGTGCCATGGTAAATAAAGTGACGTAAAGCAGATGTGTGCTGAGTTGGAGAACACTAATTAGTTTAACAGCTGTATAAGTGCCGTTACCAGCGATACTAGCATGAATTACAGTAGACTCTGTTAATCGCTTTGTGTTACTAACTCATCCCTGATGAGAGACTCCTGTGGGCTGGTGGTATTCTGATTTGCAGGTAGGATGCAAAATATATACTCTTAAATTCAGACACAGGGAGGGCCACATACCTGCACTGGGGAAACTGAGGCAGGAGGATTACCAAGCTTGACACCAGCTTGAGCTACATAGTAAGATCCTGGTTTAAAAAAAACAAAAAAGAAAAAAACCTATGAGGCTAGAGAGATGTCTCAGTGGTAAAAACGGTTGCAGCACCGGCCTGGTGGGTTGATAACTTGATGCAGGGACGGAGAGCGTCAAGTCCCAAGAGTTGTATCGACTTACACAGAACACACACAGACACATTTTAACGTGCATCGTGTGTGTGTGTGTGTGTACATTCTTGATAGTTCCTTACCTGTGGCATTTTTATCTAAGGCATACTCGAGACCACATCTTGAGCCTTTTTCCGTGGATAAAGAGCGTCTCCTTTCCTCTTGTCTTCGTAGCATTGGCCTTCAGAACTGACTCTCTGTGCTCTATGGTGTCTGAGCTTTACAGTGAAGAGTGTGTGGCTGATAAACACAGTGACTCTGGGGCAAAATTAATTTGCTTATTTTATGGGGTGGGATCAAGCCTAGGCCCACGTAGGTGCTGAACACGTGTTTCACTGCTTGGCTATACCCCCAGCTGCATGGTTAAAGTTTAAATGTTATTTTAATGTTTGTTATTTCTCTTCATACTAAGGAAAAATTGATGTTTCTGAATTAAACAAGATATATTTAGACTACATAAACTCGGAGCCTAGGAATAAGATCCATGGAAAAGAGGAACTTTGGGAAAAATTACAGTACTTATGGAAGGTACAGTTTCTTAAATACAAACTTATTTTTGTAATTCATTCTTTGTAGGGAATTTTAGTATTCCTAGTAAATCAGTAAAAATGTTTTTAAAATGTTATTTCTGCCCAGGTGCCAAGTAGCATGTCTTCCTTAGTCCAGTCAATTCATACTAAAGGTTGGAGTGTTTAAGTAACGGTCTCACAGACATTCATTGAAAGGGAGCTAGTTTAAAAGGTGCTCGTGTCTACTCGCCTACTGACGTGACTTTTCTCGGGAGAGGCAGTGCAGGGCCTGTGCTCTCGCCAGGCTAGAACCTGTGGGCTAGCCATCGTTGCGTGCTCTACCGGGTGGGCTAGCCATCGTCGCGTGCTCTACCAGGTGGGCTAGCCATCGCATGTTGGCCTCTGTCATTAGTCTTGAGAAATGTGCAGTAGCTGTGTGCTACTGCTCAGGCATTTTTTAATGTGTCCCAATAGGCCAGCAAATGTTCTTAGATAAGATGTAGATTTTTCAGCAGGTGTTGGTGTCCCAGGCCTTTAACTCCAGCACTTGGGAAGCAGAGGCAGGTGGATCTCTGTGAGTTCAAGGCCAGTCTGGTTTACAGAGCTAGTTCCAGGACAGAGAAACCCTGTCTCGAAAACAACAGCAATAAAAATATGTAGATTTTCTGAATGCTTCTGTGAAGCAGATGCATTTGGTTAGTCTTAAAAACCGAGGACTGTGTTGTTATCGCTCACTGTAAGGCAGTTTGAGCTGTACGAAGTGGAATATCAGCCATGGGGATCTTAGGGACTAGTTGGTAAAGCAGATGTTTCTGTGACCTACTCCTTATTTTACGGGTAGGAAAACTGCTCTAAAGGGCATCATATTTAGAGATTACAGAGTGAATCTGACAGAGTTGGTGGTATAGTGATAATCATTAGAACAGAAACAACAATTTTTAACTATCTTAATTGTTAGCATTTTTTTATGATGCTGTCTGTATCACGTGTTACGTGTGCAGTCCTGTGTTCGGGCCTCTTACCGTGTCTCTCCCTCTCTGTGTGTAGTCTATTCTGAGTCTCCCTGGGGATCCTGAGGATGCTTGGAAGGTTCCCGAGGACTCAGTCTTCTTAGATAGCGGTGGCGATTCCCTCAAGTCCACGTGGCTCCTCAATGAGATTGAAAAACTTACTGGCACATCTATGCCTGGGCTCCTGGAGCTTATTCTCAGCAGATCTATCTTAGAGGTGTACAACCACATCGTTCAGACCGTGTTTGCACAGGAGGACCTGAAAGTCGGCAAGGGCTGTGCCATGAAAAGGAAACCCAGTGACACGGACCCAGAGGAAGCCCGTGGCAAACCTGCACAGCCGGCCTTGCCCTTTGCCCACGACAGCCAGGCAAACGCTCTGATTGCTCTCAGCAGAGGAAGTCAGCTCCTATCTCTGGGCACTCAGGGGCATTTAACTAATTTAGGACATTGCCCGTCAGTCTGTCCTCCTGATTTCATCTCACAGACTGGCACTCAAGCACCAAAAGACTTAAGTCCTCCAGTTCCTGAAGAGAAGTTGAAAAAGCCATCAGTTTCTCAGGAGGGGAAACCTGCGGCAGGGGCTGAGACCGTGTTGCGAGAGAGGTGGCGGTCAGACACGGGCAAATGCGTAGATGCGTCCCCTCTGCTGGTGATAGCAGCTGCCGATCCATCATCCACAACCGTGTACATCGGCTCCCACTCCCACAGAGTGAAAGCGGTCGACCTTTACTCTGGGAAGACGAGGTGGGAACAGCTCCTGGGAGATCGAATTGAATCCTCGGCATGCGTGTCCAAGTGTGGAAACTTTATTGTAGTGGGTAAGCTTCTGAATCTGAGGTTCATAGAGTTAAATTCCACATGCACACACAAGCACACACACATGCACACACACGCGCGCACACACACACATATTTTCAGTCTGACACCCGGATGGAAGCTTAGCTCTGTATTGCTGTACTCTGACTTTGGCAATGTTTAATTCACCACCTCACTTTTCTCACGGAGAAACGGAAACCGTAATAGAGCATGATGCTGTGGCACACATTACGTTGAAACCCACTGACCCACTGCAGTGTCCCTGGGTCAGGAAGTTTGGAGGCACTTAGTTGATGATCAAGGTCTCGTGCTTCTGTAGGCCCTGAGGGCTTTATGTGGAGTGGCAGGTTTGCTTCCAAGACGGCTCACAGACAGCACTGTCAGCATAGGGCCTCTGTTCTTAGTTGGTTTTTGCTAAGAAGATTCAGGTTTTGCCACATGAGCCTCTCTCTCTAGCTGTCTGAACATTTGCACAGCACGGCATCTGACTTCCCTCAGAGCGGATGATCCCAAAGAGAAAGCCACAAGAGACCTAGGCTCTAAAACTGGAGACCATCATTTTTGTTTAATTGTGTTCATTAAACATAGATCACTAGGTCCAGTTCCTGCTCAGGGGCGAGAATTAGTTTACATTTCTAGAAGAACGTCTAAGAATGTGTGGCTGTATTTTAAACCCATGGCAACTCTCCATGAGTTCTGGGCAGGATTAATCAAGCCCAGCAGTCCATTGGTACACTGTGAGGCACAAACAGAGCTCTTCAATGATGGCGACACAGAAAACAGCTTGGAAATTGAATCTCAAGAGCAATGACCTGGCCACGGGCAGAACAATGTAAAGTGTAGCAGTTGAAGCCATCCTAAATGGCTGTCCTCAGGTCCCATCCACTTCATCTTATTCTGTGTGCCCAGGTCTCTGTAGCGACTTCATTTGGAGGTTTTTACCCTTTCTACATCAGGATCCCCGAACTTTCTTTTCATCCACAGCCACACTTGGGAAGAGAAGTTCAGTGGAGTTACTAAGAATACCGGCTCTTAGATTTAAATCCTGATGCTGCCACATGGTAACTTTGTGATTTTGGCTCTTTTGTTTGTTAACCTGCTTCCATTGTTGTCATCCATAAGTATGGATATAATTATGCTAAAGTATTTGAAAATGTAGTCTGGGGATGTGGCTTGGGTGGCAGAATGCTTGCCTAGCATGTCAGAGCCCTGGGTTCAATCCCCAGCACTGTATAAACCAGATGGTGTGATCATGCACAGCTATAATCCCAGCACTCAGGAGGATCAGAAGGTCTTAGGATACCTGAGGCTAGCCTGGGCTAATGGCCCCAGTCTCAAAAGAAAAAGCCCCATACATAGGAAAGGCGTTGTAGACTTTGTTTGTTATTCATGCTAGCTTTTCTCAAACAGCTCTGAGCATCTGTACTATTACAATAACGGTTGGGTAAAAGGAGAATAACCCGAGGCTCTGTGACACTGGGCAGTTTATCCGGTCACAGCCAGGGCAGATTTGAACCCAATTTTGTCAGTGTGTGTGTGTCCGTGTGCTCGTGAGGTGAGAGACTACTTGTTGGTTGTCTCTTTCCCCCATGTTGGTCTGGGTATCATGACGTCAGGCTTGGTGGCAGGTGTCTTTACTGACCATCTTGCTGCCCCGCAGTACTATTAAAAACAAGGGCCTGCTGGGTGCGTAAGTGTCCACCTGTAACTCAGCACTCGGGGCTGAGGCCTAGGGCTGGGTGAGAGACCTGTGCCGCCAGACCATCACTAGCCGGGATTTTACAGGAATGTGTTCTTCAGGATCTGCTGTGTCTGCTGAAAGCTAAATCAGGTGGCGAGAACAGACATATATAAGAAGAGCGTGAATACAAATTGTCATCATTTAAACTAAATATTTTTATCAAGGTATCTTAATCTCATCGTTTATATTTTGTTTCTCTGTAGGCTGCTATGATGGATTAGTTTATGTTCTAAGAAGTAAGAGTGGAGAAAAACATTGGGCATTTACTACTGAAGATGCTGTCAAAAGCTCGCCAGCCCTGGACCCCACCACAGGCCTCATCTATGTCGGGTCTCATGACCAGCATGCGTATGCTCTAGACATCTATGTAAGGATTCCCTGTATCCGTGTCACACTGCAAACACAGGGGCATGTCACTGTAATGTGCACCTGAGTCTGGAAGCAGGCATTAACTATAGCCCATGTATAACGTTTAGTCTGGAAAAAAGTGATTAGTCAAATTTAAACATCTTTAGGCATTTTTAACTTTCTTTCAAATAATTTCTGCAATATTAGGTATTCAGAATGACCATAACAGAAAAAAAAGCTATTTTAAGCTCTTATTACATGAAAATATCAAACTTATATAAAAATTATAAGGAAACTGCAATAATTTTTTTTTGAAATAACAGTGAATCAAAGCTCACTGGTATAAGTAGAAATAAAGAATAAATATAAGTGATTAGAAAAACCCAGAAGAAAATAAAAACAAGTGCATAAACACACAGGAGGAAGCTGCTGAGGACATGAATGTTTCAGACCTTTAGTACTCGAAGCAACGAAATGAGACACTGATATACAGTGATTGACAGTCGCGTCCCTGAGAGGTAGCAGCTTGTGTGGACGGGAGGACAGTTTGAGGGCTGGGATACAGCTCACTGGTACAGTGCTTGCCCAGTGTGCACGAATCTCTGAGTGCCATGCCTCCAGCCACACAGATGAGCTGGCACATGAGTGATCCCAGCACTCGAGAGGCTCGGTTATGTGCACATAGTGATGTAATCAGTAATGCACAGGAAGTAAATGCAGAGACTTAGTGTGGCTGTGGAAATCTCATAATCTTTGACCAAAAATTTGTTTCTATGATTCCACCCTGGCAAAATCATCAGAAGCATAAATATATGCACCAAGTTGTTTATAAGATTGAGTAATTGGTTTCTAACAGTTTTTAGATCAGGAAGAGAGATTATTTTGAATATAATGCTTTAAAATTATTTTTAAAGCCATTTTGTAAAATCAGTGAAGGAAACATACTGAGTTGTGTGTTCAGAATGAGTAAATGCACACATGTACGTGCATGAGCATGCACATGCGCGCGCATGCACACACACCAGTCGATCAAAAGGGAAAATGGTAGTTAGTGTGTTATCAGTATCAGTGACTTCCTTTGCTGCTCTGTGCTGTCTTAACCCGAAATGGTGGTCCTAGCACTGACGAGGCTGAGGCAGGAGGATTCTGAGTGAGTGAATAGGGAGGGCAGGGGAGAAGGGAAGAGAAGCCTGCATTCCTCTGGGTGCTGGTGCCTGTTCCTTGGTACAGCATGTGCAAGGCTCTGGGTTCGATCCTAGCACCTCCAGAAGGAACACAACCCAAAACTTAGCTATGTTGTATGTGGACTTGTTAGCAGTGAGCACCACCTGATTAATTCAAATTCCTGTTTTCAGGAAAAGAAGTGTGTCTGGAAGCTAAACTGTGGCGGGATGATCTTCGCTTCTCCATGTTTGAGCCTGAGGCCACATCACCTGTACTGTGCTACGCTTCGGGGACTTTTACTGGCTATAAGTCCTGTAGGCATCCAGCCACTGTTAATTTAGCTCCTATCTTTATTTCTGATTTTGATGTTTAAAAGTTTGAGTACTTTTCAGTTAAATATAATCTACACATTAATGAGTTAGAATTCACTTAAAATGATTGAAATTATTTGGGAAAACAAGGTAGCATGTGTTCATGCTTTTATTGTATTTCTTTAGTTATTTTTATTTTAGCCTTTAAAAAGATTTATTTGTATGTGTAACACATGTGTCTGGTGCCTGAAGAGGGCATGGGATCCCCTGGAACTGGAATCACAGATGGTTGTGAGCTACAGTGTGGGTGCTGGGAAGCAAAGCCGGGTCACCTGCAAGAACAACATGTGGACTTTGTCACTGGCTCTCTCCAGACTGTTTGTAACCTTGTTAGACAGGATTTTCTCAGTCATTTTAAGGACTTCTTGTCTGCCCCTTATAGTGGTGAACACCTTTAATCCCAGCACGTGGGGGCAAAGACAGGTGAATCACTGAGAGTTCCATGCTAGCCTGGTCTACATAGTCCAGCCTGGGCTACATGGTGAGACCCTTTCTAAAAAAAAACTAAGCAAAACAAAAACAAACAGCAACAAAAAAACTTCTTGTCTATTGTAAGGAGAGAGGTCTTGTTCATTTTTTTTTCTAATCTTAAAATTGTTTTTCCTTTTTTTATGGTTTTTTTTTTTTTTTTTTTTTCATTTTTGAGACAGGGTTTCTTTCTGTAGCTTTGGAGCCTGTCCTGGTACTAGCTCTTGTAGACCAGGCTTGCCTCTGCCTCTCGAGTGCCGGGATTAAAGGTGTGCGCCACCATCGCCTGGCTGTTTTTCCTTTCTAAAGATAGATTTTAGGTAGGCAGTGGTGGCATATACCATTAATCCTAGTAGCTGGGAGGCAGAAGCAGGCAGATCTCTGAGTTTGAGGCTAGTCTGGTCTATAGTGTGAGTTTCAGGACAGTCGGGGGCTGTTACACAGAGAAACCCTGTCTTAAAGTGTGTGGCTTTGTTTTATGTTCAGGGCTGACTTTTTGTCCTGGCTCTGAGAAGCAGCACTGATTTTCTGACTCTTTGTGCGCGTGTGTGTTTGTGAGCGCGTGTGTCTGTGTGCATGTGTGAGCATGTGTGAGCGTGCCAGCGTCATCGACAGCGCCACTGTGCCACTGTTGCTGCTTGGCTCCAGCCTAGAAGATGTGTAGTTTGCTGTAAAGTGGCTCCACGGGTAAGGCACGTACCGCTAAGCCTGACAGCAGGAGTTCAGGCTCCTTCCCACATGCTACAAGCTGTCCTGCATTCTCCACATGTGCCCTGTGGCACGTGCGTGTGCACACATACACGTGCACACACACAATAAATAAATAAATCAGCAAATGTAACTTTAAAATGGTAAAGGTGCTTGGTTAGTAAATCGTCTTCAGTGCTGTTGCTTCGGTCACAACAGGCTGCTGGGAGCGTCGTTTGGAAGCACTGCTGTGGACAGCCGCTCTTCTCTTCCCCACGGTGCTGCCAGCGGTACGTTTGCGTCGGCTGCGTGGACGGGAGCTTGCTCTGCTTCACTCATGCAGGAGAGCAGGTGAGAGCAGGTGATCCAGTTCTGTGTGTAACCCTGGGGACTGGACCCAGGGACTTGCTGTAATCAGTGACCGCTCTGTTATTGAGCTACATTCCCAGCCCTTGCTCACACACAGACACACATATATACACACATACATATATACATAGTATATGTATGTATATATTATTATTTTTTTTAATAATTTCTTTTGATACAGGGACTCCCTTGCTATCCTGGCACTCACTGTGTAGGCCAGACTGGCCTAGAACTGAGATCTGCCTACCTCAGCCTCTTTTTTTTTCTTATTTTTATAATTTATTTATTTGTACTTTATGTACATTGGTATTTTCCCTGCACATATGCCTGTATGAGGGTGGTGGATCCCTGGAACAGGAGTTACAGACAGTTGTGAGTCATATGGGCGCTGGGATTTGAACCTGGGTCCTTTAGAAGAACAGGTAGTGCTCTTAACCACTGAACTCTCTCCAGCCCCTGGCTCAGGCTTCTTGAGTGCTGGGATTGAAGGCAATACCCAGATTTTTGTTTAAAGCTCTTAACTATTTGCACTTCAACGCCTTCATTCCGCTTCCATCCCACTTGGTTTGGAAAACTTGAGTTAGACTTTTTTTCTCCCTTTCTCTTTGTTCTAGAGCTGGTTTTGGAACAAAGGCCAAGTTCCACACCCTGTCCAAGATTGTTAATAACGTACTTTGAAGGCATAATACAGTTCTTTTCTGTAAACACAGTGTCTGTGAACACACCAGTAGTAATTCTCAAGCAGCTCAGAATTACTTGTAACAGCATTGTAACGTAACTTGTCTTTGTTTTTACCACCGGCGCAGTCCAGTGGGAGAATGAAGCTACTTTCCAGAAACCAGCATTATTTTTGGTCTCTGGAGTTACCCAGTTGTATGAAGAAACCCTGCAGGCTTAAGAAAGTGCTGTGCTGGATAAAAGACTGATCGTTCCTCCTCTTATTTGAAGGTGTGGCGCTTCTCTGCGGGAGGACCAGTCTTCTCATCCCCGTGTATCCCAGCATCAGAACGAGAAATATTTTTTGGTTCCCATGATTGCTTTCTGTACTGCTGTAGCATGGAAGGTCACCTGCAGTGGAAATTTGAGACTACCGCGAGGGTGTACGCAACTCCCTTTGCTTTCAGTAGCCAGAGCTGCAGCAGTGAATCCCTGCTGGCGGCCGCATCCACCGATGGGAAGCTGTGGATCTTGGAGTCTCAGAGTGGCAAGCTGCGAAGTGTGCACGCACTCCCGGGGGAAGTTTTCTCTTCTCCTGTGGTCTGGGAATCCGTGCTTATCATTGGGTGCAGAAATAATTACGTTTACTGTCTGGATTTATTGTGTAGTGATAATCAAGTATAGTCCTTGTAAGTATATATGTGTGTGTGAGATGGTTGGAAATATTGTAAAGCTATGTGGATGGTTTTATATTAAAGATTCTATTTTGGGTAAGGAATTTGTCTGCTATACTTCAATAGAGAGCAACTATGTTTATTTCTTATAGAAGGAGCAGGAGCTTCTGGGGGGGGTTGATAAAACACCTGCTATAGTTTTTTAAATAAACTTTTAAGATTTATTTTATGTATATGATGCTATATCTGCATGTACACCTATATGCCAGAAGAGGGCATCCGATCCCATTATAGATGGTTATGAGCCACCATGTGGTTGCTGGGAATTGAACTTAGAGCTTCTGGAAGAGCAGCCAATGCTCCTAACCATTGAGCCACCTCTCCAGCCCACACCTGCTGTATTTTGTAGTACTTTTAATTAAGTACTACAAATGTGATGGTGTGCTGGACAGTTTCATGTCAATGTGACACAAGCTAGTCATTTGAGAGGTGGGAACCTCAACTGAAAAAAAATGCCTCCATAAGACTGGGCTGTAGGTGAGCCTCTACAGGATTTTCTTAATTGATTGATAGGGGAGAGCCCAGCCCATTGTGAATGGTGCCACCCTGGACTGTTTCTGGCTTCTTTAGCAGGTTGATCAAGTCATGAAGAGCAAGCCAGTAAGCATCACGCCTCCATGGCCTCTGCATCAGCTCCTGCCTGCAGGTTCCTGCCCTGTTTGAGTTCCTGACTTCCTTCAGTGATGGACTATGGTATGGAACTGTAAGCCTCACTTGCTTTTGGTCATGGCGTCTCATCACAGTAACCCTAACTATGACAGGTGGTGAAATTGCATGTTTTAGAAATATCTGTTTTAATTGGTCAAAACGATGCTGGTTTGAAAATCACCAAATACCTCACTGTGTGTAATTAAGAAGGTGGAAACATAACCCTACTATTGTACTTTGGGGCAGCACCTTTGTGAGATGGTTAAGATTATATGAGGATGTGTGTGTGCACGTGCGTGTGCATGTGTTGGGGGATGCTGCTGACCCTGAGGGACTGGAACTTTGTAAGGAGAGACCAAGGCCTGTGTGCTCTGCTTTGCCAGGTGATGTCCAGCATCACCTTGGTTGGGACTCTGCAGAAGGTCTCTATTAGTAAGGGACACATAACTAGATGTGGCCACCAGTCCTTGACCTCCTCAGATTTCAGAACTGAGAGCTAAATAAACGTGTATTTATTATAGTCAGTCTGTGGTATTCAGTCATGGACAAGTTTACAGAGATAGCTAGTAAAACATAGTTCTTGCTGTGGATTGAGCTCGTTTGTAAACTGGCTAGTGTTTGAAGTTGAGCCAACAGTGAGTGTCTGCATAGAAGGCAGCAGCGGACGGAAATTTGTCTTCTCGAGCAAAGCTCACGGTATTTTCATGCTTTTGGACACCAGAGCTCCTGGTCTGGGAAGGAAATGCAGCAGCAGCGATTGTATCCCCTGCTTCTCAGGCCTGCGGGTTACACCATCAGCTCCCTGGTCTCGCGGCCTCTGGCCTTTTTCTGAGTTGAACTATACCCTGGGTTCTGCAGGTCTGTAGTGTGCAAACACCACATGGTGGCACTTCTCAGTCTCCATAACCTCATGAACCAGTTCTGGAATCTCTGCCTTTGTTTGTTTCTCTGGAGCAATCCTGTTAGGTTCTAGGTTTCACAATAAGTATATCTATAGCCTTTCATTTCTCTCTCCACCTAGCTAAATATATCTGATCAGTTATGTTTCTTTAAAGAACCCTAACATATTAAGGTTGTTTTGTGGGTTTCTTGGGGTTAAAAATCTCTGTGGAAAAGAAAGGATCGGAATATGTTTTGAGTTATAAACAGACTATACCATTGACTTTATACTGAAAAAGATTTTTATCTTTGGTGTTTTTTCCTGAATGTATCTAAGTGTACCATGTGTATGCATTCCCTCCAGAGACCAGAAGAATATGTGGGAGCCTCTGGAGCTGGAGTGAGCCACCATGTAGATAGATGCTAGGAACTGAGCCTGGGTCCTCTGTATGAGGCAAGAACTCTAAAGGTTTTTAAAGGTAGGCTCTATTTATCAACTTAGGTTCATTATTTCAAAGCTGGGGAGGCGGGGAGTCATGTACGTGTATTGTGTACTGCTCAGGCTTGAACCCAGGGCTTTGTTCATGTGAGGTGAGCACTCCACCATTGGACTATATCTCTAGGTCCTTATTTAGTATTTTTAAGCAGGCAAAAGTGCCTCCCCCACACACACAGAGAGTTTTGACTTAATATGGTGACTTTAGGCCTTCATTAGTCCTGCTGTACAACCCAAGCCAACCTCACCATTTTCACCAAGTTGTCTTTGCAGGTCAAATGCTCAGAGTCCAAGGTGTAGCCTATGGTAGCCGGCCCTCAGCTGAGGATGATGCTGCTGGGCTGTGACCTGGAGTAAAGAGACTGTAAGATCATTTTATCCGAGACTGAGACCACTCACTTCCTACCGGACTTGAGGTAAACATCTGGCCTTGTTCATATATATGTTCATCCACTGGGTATTTGGGGCGGGGTGGGAGGTAGGATAAACACAGTAGCATTAAAAACTTGAACCTTTTCTTGTTCATCCAAAGCTCTGTAAATAAGAGATTGCCCGTAGATGGCCATTGGGATAAATTACAGCTTCAGCTTAATAAGGACATTCATCAGTGCCAAAGGTCTTGTCAGTATTTTATTGAAAGGTCTTTTCCCTTAAATAATGGACATTTTTTTTTAACATTCAAACTGTATACAACCAAAATCTCAAAATAATATTAAAATCACACTAAGGAATTTTTATTAAGTATCTACTTTAATTTTATTGTTGGTAAAAATATTGCAAGACACTTGTAGCTAATGTTGCTGCTTTAAAATAAGCAAACTAAAATCACGAGAAGAGACGGTGGATACATACTATACATTTGTAGATGATCAGCTAAAGTGAGAATTTCATGGTAATCAATCATGTTTTATAAGAAACAATTGCACTTGAAACATCTTTAAAGTAAACAAAAACTCTACTTCCATATGTAAGTCTATGAACAGAGGTTAATCACCTATATAACCTTGTCAGAAGTATGTTTAAATTTAAAAAGGTTGTATATTTAATATAGCAGTCATTCATTAAAAAAAGTCTTGAACTTTTGTTTTCACAGAACTTCCCCTAGTGTGTTGCTCAGACGAGCAACACAACTGAAGCGGATAACACTTCCTTGGTGCTCAGTGCAGGTTTGGGAGGCTTGGAAATGTCATGTTGAGCATGTGCTTCTTCAGCAAGAATGACGACCACCTGTTCCTCAGTAGATTCTTTAAAGACATCCGTGGGGCATTTTTAACTACGCTGTATCTTGTACTGTGTGTGGGCTCATGGTATCGAGTCAGTATGAACGCATCTACTAGTCTTTAATTTGTTTTAAGACGGGGTCTCCACTGTGTAGCCTTGGCTGGCCTGGAACACATCATGTAGACCAGGCTGACCTTGAACACACAGAGATCCACCTGTGTCTGCCTCCCAAAAGCTGGGTAAAAGGCATGCGCCACCATGCCCAGCCCTATTCTTCCTTAGCCATCTTATTTCTGGTCCTGTTCGCTGCCATGACTGTGGTACTGGCCAAAGCTGAGAGGATGGAGGAAGAAGCCAGTTTGGAAGAATCACTGTGGCACTGTAAGTCTAGAGCTTTGTGTGGGAAGATTCCCATTCTATAACTCTAGGGCTTTGGGTGTTCTATCAGTGAAGAAATCATTGAACTAACAGTTGTCTACACATAAGATTTAGAAATGAATACCAGTGTGGGAAACGTGCAGTGGAATATTAGTTGCTTACAATAGCGGTAACAACAAAAAAGTTACATTGATTCTTAACAGTCGGAAGGTCCAGTAAATATAATACTAAGTCCAACTTGCAATAGTGCAGCTACCCACTTGACCACACATGCCAGCTGCTTCATGAAGCTGAGCCACTGTTTCTAGAGAGAAAATGGTTTCTATATGGTAAACAGCATCCCTGTCATCCTGTGGAGCAGACAGAATGACAGCACATTGCATATTGCGTAAGCACAGAGGAAAAGGAGTGATGTACGCTATTAAAATATGTTAGTGTGGGAGACCAAAAGGGAGGCAATCCCTGCACTGGGCTAAGATCCTACACCTAGAAAAGGAAATGATGCCAACACCGGGAAATACAAAGTGATCGCCAGCAGTATGTAGGCATTTGCTGCTATGTCTAGTGTCATGTAAAGCAAATCTAGAGAAATAAACATAAATACATGTGGCTTTGACACTGCCAAGTCCCTTCTTTGTGTGCACATGTGTATGCTAACAAGGCCACGTAAACTCTGAGATGCTTCTTCTTTAAAGGTATCAAGGTGAATGCTCTACATTGTAAATGCTTTGGAACATTCGACTCTGAATTATTCAAGTACAAGAAAGGAACAAAAAATTCTCTACAAGAAGTCCTTAGAACAAATAGGTTACACATCTTGGCTTGTTCATTTTCCCTTAAGGCCAAGGGGAAATTTCAGAGGCATGTAATGCCAGCGACCTAAACTATCGTACATAAATGGCTGGTTTGGGTGACGGTTTTATTTTCTTGTCTCACGTTTGCCTTCTCTTCATAACGTGAAAAGCTAGATTACACCAGGTTCTTAACTTTTGGATGTCATCTGAAGGGTTTCTCCTAAAATCTATATCCTAGGCCCTGTGCTCCCAGGATCTATCTGGGAGTGCCGCCCGGGCTGCTGGAGAGCCACTGCGCTACATGAGGTGTCTTCTCAGCGACAGCTCTGACCCAGAGTTCGTTCCTTTGGAGCCAGCGAGGCCAGATGGTCCTTGGTCTTTAAAGAGGCCACTGCTATAGCAGGGTACACCATGGATCAGTCAGTATGAGTGAGTGGATTTGCTACGTTGTGGTTTTAGGGTGGGGAAAAAACATGAAAACCAGACATAGGCACAGAGCTGGGGGCCAGCTTTTCCTTATTCTCCCAGTCACTGCATCCAGGAGAGTGATACCAGGTTTTATGTACATGTGAACCTGTCACTGTTCCATATGCAAACATAGGGTAAATGTTTGGGGTAGAAGAGTAAATAGAGTAATAGATTGGCAAAAGGATATAATCTGAAATGGTGCGTGGGTGTGCATATATATATGTGGGGACCATAGATGGGCATGGCAGGCTCTCCTGAGCTCTCCTTTGCAGATTTAGATGGGCATGGCAGGCTCTCCTGAGTTCTCCTTTGCAGATTTTGCTTCATGTGGTCCCTCAGCCAAAACTGTCTCTTGAGAACTAGGGGAGCTCAAGGCACCAGGACCCAGGGTTGTGCAAATACACTCTTTACAATGAACACCACCAGTGCAGTTTCTAAACATTATTTTAAAGCCTATAAAACATGCTTCTTTTCCCTAACTTGGTTTCTTTACCGCATATAAAAAAATAAATAAATAAAAAGGGCAAGAGAAGAGCCAGCAACTGGCCACAGACATGGGAAAGAGTCACCGTTTACTTAATGATTTGTGGGCAGTCGCTCCAGGCCTTTGCTTTTCTCTTGGCCAAAGCCAGCCAGGCAGGTTCTGTAGACATGGGGGCAGCGTCTGGGGTGGAGAACCTCTTGGTGACCTCCTTTACCAGAGGTGTTGGGGGCGCAGAGTCTGAGATCTCCACTGCGTTGTTTGAAGGAAGAGAGAAATAAGAACCACATAAAAACAAACATTTTAGTCAATAGAATTATATGTACTTACTATACATGAAATGATGCATGCATGCGCACACGCATACACACACACACCCCTCAGAACACCAAAATCTAGCTAGGTGTTGTTCACAGAATTACATAAGAACATTTAAAATCTGCTCTTAGGACTTTAAGAATCCAGTAGGCTGTTAGCTCTAGTAACTGTGTTACACAACAGATTTACTTTTCTTTTCTAATTTACTTACTTATTTTTTGAAACAGGGTTTCTTAGTGTAAGAGTACTGACTGTCCTGGATCTTACTCTGTAGACCAGGCTGGCCTCAGAGATCCATCTATGTCTGCCTCTGCCTCCTGAGTGCTGGGATTAAAGGCAAGTACCACTGAACTTCTCTGAAATGTTGTATCCTTTAGCAAACATTTCAAAGGTGGTCCCCTCTCCAGAACAAGATTTTGACTTATTTAGTGGTACGAAAGTCGAGCCAGGCATGATAGTGCATGCCTTGGAACTTCTATGGTCCCGAACTCCTGGTCTTCCTGCCCCAGCCTCCCAAGTGCTGAGATTACAAGTGTGGGCCATGGGGCCTGGCAAGTTGGTGAAGTCAATAGCAGGCTGCCTCCTCCACAGAGCAGCTCCTAGCTTTATTAAGCTAGCATTATTATAAAGTACGATAATCCTTTTGTCCTTCCAACTGAACAGAGAAAAGAATGACCTCTTGAGCCTTGCACCTTCCACTTTTCATGAAAAAAAAAAAATCTCAGTCTTAGTCTAACATTTAGAACCCTCATTGTAAGAGCAAAATGATCAGTGTTCTAAGGTAGTTCTGGTATATGAACACTCCTACTTTACCACTAGGTAGTGAAACCTTTTTTAATACGTCCACATCTCCAGACCTCAGGAAACAGGTAGCCAAGGCATGAGTGTTAGTATTCAGGCATCTGTACTGGCCTGCCCTTGGGGTTCTGACAGGGTACGTCTTCAGTTACAGCCACTAAGAGCAACCCCTGTGCACATTCACTACGTTCCCATCTATTTTTCTCTCTACCTCTCTCTCTCTTTCGCCATTCTAGTCCCCAGGGTCCGGTCTCTGCCCCTTCTCTCTCTTCTGGTAGACCTCCCATGTGAGTCCTGTTATATGGCATGATTCCTTAGCGCCATTTTTTAAAATAAATTATAACACTGGTGCCACGAGATTCGGCAGGCCCTCCTGGTGCTTCCTCCAGCCCACCAGAGGTCTGAGGCATGCTGGGACCCTAGTCTACAGACGACAGTCTCACTTCTCCAACTAACAGAGCACTGGGCCCCTTCATCCAATACCGGCCTGTCTGGACAGTGAAGGGGGCAGAGATCGGTCCCTGGGGATGAGTGGCAGAAGAGAGAAAGAGAGGGGGGGGAGAGGTGGGCAAGGCCCACCTTTTAAGGGAAAAGTAGTGAGGTGCTCTTAGTAGCTGCAGCTAGGACTATCCTGTCAAGCCCCTAAGGACAGGCCAGTACAGATGCCTGAATGTTGGTAATGGGAGAGGCTGGGGCTTAGATATGGCTACGGTTTGCACTATCTCGGTGTTTACATGTAGGAAGACTAATTTTCTAGTGTGGTGGCAATGAATTCTTCAGATTTGGGAGGCAGAAGCCTAGTGGTGTGTGCTTGGGTGTCAGGGGCCGCCCTCACAAGTAGATTAATTTCCTCACGCTACTGTAGGAGCTTGCTTGCTTTCTCTCTGTCCCTGTGTACACACTGTCCATTCACTTTCCCACCAGCTCTGTAGGTTCCTCATCTGGGGATTCTGCTAGCCTTCTGTAAAGGGACAGAGACAGACACGCCCCTGGGGAATAATGCAGCTGCACAGGGAAGCAGATGTCCTGGGAGTTCATGCAGTTACAACTATCCATCCTCCAAGTGACTTGTAGCAAGGAAATAGTGGGCCACTATGGGCCATTTTTTACATCTGTTATAAACAGATGACGGTTATTACCACCCAAGACAGTGCTGAGAAAACTTTCTCCAAAGTCAGGCGACCCGACACCTCCTCTTGGGATCCTGTCAGTGGAGGTGCTGTGGCTCTAGGACAGAGAAGCAGCTGGCGGCTTTCACACACTTGGACCAATCTTGTCATTGCAGATGACAGGACCCTGGGGTCTACTTCCAAGCCCGGGCTCTCTCTACGTCAGTTCTGCCTAAACTTTACACCTCGTCTTCCCCAGCCTATTATACTCATCTCTCTCTTTGTTTAATGTCCTGGTAGATGCCCTTCCTTGCTGTAACAGGCAGACAGGTAGACAGATGATAAATAATACAAGTGGATGGTAGGCAATGAGGTACTGGTGATGACTCACGTTGCCCTATTGAATGTTCAGAAACCAGGGCAAGCCAGTTGGTGTCAACTCAGCCACAGCTTACGTATTTACACCATGGAAGGTAGCGAAGGCCACAAACTCTAAGGAGATGACTGCACAGGCATTTTACTGTCTCCCTCTGAGAGCTGGGGAATTCCTGCTGTCTGCATCAGCATCAGTGTTTACAACTGGGTCTTGAGAGCCTGTGCCCCGTGATGTCTAAGATGCTATGCCAAGTCACTCCATGACAGGGAATAAAGCTGCTCTCAGGCAAACCAGGGTGTACCGGCGCTCTACCTGTCACGGATGTGGGAAGAGTGTTGGCCTTCTTCAGCTGTTCTCGGCGCTGGAGTCTGGACACTGCAGTTTCAGGCTTCTTCTCTTCTGACGGAGTGGCAGACTTGTGCAGGGAACTGGCTCTGCTTCCAGGCTGCGGGCTGACACTGACCTGCATTAGCACAGAGAAAGAAAGCATGTTTTCAGGGCACGACCTCTCAGCCCTGCCACGAGGGGACTGGGCTGCACCTGTGAGCGGTGTGTTCAGGGCAGGCCTCCAGTGAGGGCCCAGTGCCTTGTACCAAGGACGGGAAGTTACTTTCCAGGACGAGCCCCATCAAGATGATCAGAAAGTTAGGTCATAGAACAAGGCTTCAGATACACTCTGCCCACTGAACAAACTCACTTCCCCAACTCCTACTTATAGTAGTTTCCCTTCTCCAAGATGGATCAGTCTAAGATCCTGGTGGGATGTCTAAACCCAGGGCAGAACTACACGCTGATCGTTCTGTTTCCTTCCCTTAGAGTTCAGTCACTTCAGTCTGTGATTGTTCTTATTAAGCCAAGCGCTTTCGCCTCAGGAAGGCCTTTACAGCTCCTTGGCATCTGCTCATCTCCAGTATCATACAGTCACACCTTGGGAACATTCTTTTTTTTAATTTTTAAATTCATTTTACATACCAAACACTGGACAAAGAGTATCTGATGTGGGAGTCCCCTCTGTGTGCTGTGATTACCACTAATTAATAAAGAAACTGCCTTGGCCCATTGATCGGGGAGGACTGGACTGAATGCTGGGAGAAAGAAGGGCGGAGTCAGAGAACATGGAGCCACCGGAGACAGATGCAGGTCGGAACTTTAGCTGGTAAGCCACCACCACATGGCAATACACAGATTAATAGAAATGGGTTAAATTAATATGTAAGAGTTAGCAAATAAGAAGCCAGAGCTAATGGGCCAAGCAGTGATTTAATTAATACAGTTTCTGTGTGATTATTTTGGCTTTGGGCAGCCAGGATGAACAAGCAGCTCCCTGCAACAAGTATCTCTGTCTCTGGGAATAGAACAAGGGATTTCATCAAACAAAATGGGCAGTTTAACCCTATGAATTTCTGGAATTTTCCACTTCCACAAGTCAAACCATGGAAAGTGAAGCAGGGACACTCCTGTAGGGACACTCCTGTAAGCACAGTATGGGAGCTGCTGTAAATACATCCATCTTAGATCCTGCCAAATAAGGCTCGCATAGTAACAGCATAGTAAAACCAAGTTAAATTTAAAATTTGCTGCTTAAAAAATGCTTCCCTGATTTAAAGGCAGTCAATTTCTCTACTTCCCTGCCCTATATAAACAGCACCTCCGGGTGCCATCTTAAAAATGACCTCGTGTGACTTAGAGAAGAGCTAAGCTCCGCTTGGGACGGCAGCACTGAGAACGGAGAGGGAGGGCTACTCACAGTTTCTTTACACAGCTTCTCTGCTTGCTTGGCCTCCCGGGCTTGCTTTCTCTCCTCTCGAGTCGCCTGCTGCTCACGAAACCCCTTTTGCTTTTGCAGCGCCAATGTTATCCACAGCGGCTGAGCAGCTTCACCTTTCTCTGTTAATTTGGAGCCATCTACAGAGTGCCTGCTCTGGAGCATGGGCTTCTCTACGGAGGAAAGATGACGTTTGCTGCGATTAGCACTTGGCTTAGTGTCTCTTCCCATAAAAGTGTGACATAATTCCTGATAGGTGTATGACGTCTATGCTGATGCCCAAGGGATCCCATTGGCTGGGAAGGTGACATCTCTGACTAACAGGAAAATGGGCGTTTTTCTTCCCTAAAGTGGAACTACTTTATAAGAAAATAAAATTGCCAATGTGATAAAAATCCAAGTTTATGGGAGACCCAGGTAGTATGTGGTTCATTGCTTTGGTGGGCTTTGTTTTTTAGCAACGGAAACGTTCTTCTCAAAAAATGTTTTATATGGAGGCGGGCAACGCAGGCCAGGCCGCAGGCTGCGGCCGGGACCGGAGGGGACTGGCGCGGTGGCAGAGGACGCAGGCGGCAGGGACCAGCGCGCAACACCGAGAGCAGATCGCCCCACTACAATTAAATCAAAGATGTAGGCCTTTGGTTGGCGAGGGCCCTGGCAAACGGGGAGCCAGGTCCTGCTC